CACCCCCTTTTCTTTTCTTTTTCATTTTTTCCCCTTTTAAAAAAAAAACCACCCCCCCTTTTTTTTTTTTTTTTTTTCAAAAAACCCTTTTTTGTCTTTTTTTTTTTTTTTTAACCCCCAACAACCATCCAGCCCCATCCCCCATCCATCTTTCAATCTCTCTCTCTCTCTCTCTCTCTCTCTCTCTCTCTCTCTCTCTCTCTCTCTCTCTTCTCTCTCTCTGTGTCTCTGTCTCTCTGTCTCTCTCTCTCTCTCTCTCTCTCTCTCTCTCTCTCTCTCTCTCTCTCTCTCTCTGTCTCTCTGTCTCTGTCTCACTCTCTCTCTCTCTCTCTCTCTCTCTCTCTCTCTATCTCTCTTATGTCCTCTTCAAACTCTCAGAGAAAAAGGGACAAATAGAAAAGAACTAAGAAAGAGGGAAAGATAGAGAGAGAGAGAGAAAGAGAGAGAGAGAAAGAGGGAGAGACATAGAGAGATGGGGGCGGGGGTGGGAGTGAATAAGAGAAGGGGTAGAAAAAGAGAGAAATAAACACACAAACACAAACACACACAAACACACACACACACACACACACACACACACACACACACACACACACACATACATACATAGAGAGAGACAGATAAGAGAGAGAGAGAGAGAGAGAGAGAGAGAGAGAGAGAGAGAGAGAGAGAGAGAGAGAGAGAGAGAGAGAGAGTTTTTAAGAGATGGAGTTACAGGAGGAAAAGGGTGCGCACGGGCACAGTAAAGAACATTGAGGAAATAAAAAAAGAGAGAAAGAGAGAGAGGGAGGGGGGGGGTAGATAGCTACCACCGCATTTAACGCGCGCACGTGCCGATATGGCCTGGTCTGCAGTTTGCAGCTGGCAAGGTGGTTAGTTATTAGAATAATATACATACATGTGTTATAAACATTATCAAAAGCTGGCCGATTGTGTGTACACGTCTTTGTTACAAGTTGAAAAACAGGCATGCGTTTATTTATTTATTCAGTTTTCAATTATGATTTTGTGGAGGGATGTAGGAAGGATAGAGGTTATCAGTAGCCGTGGTAACTAAAGGGGAAAGTGAAAAGTGTTGGGGTGGTCCGCGGAGGAGGTTTGGTGTTAAGGTCGTCCCGGCTATTTGAATTAAGAATAAATATTTACTTGGGAGCTATGCAAAATGTTGATGCATAACACATGTGGCGCCTTCAAGGAAGATACACCTGGTGTTAAATCTAAGAGATGATGAACAGCAATTAAATCAAAGTGTGCTTTCAGGTGTAATCAATCGAAACCAATTAGTGCTAAGTTGTTTGTGTGTACGAGTCTCTCTCTCTCTCTCTCTCTCTCTCTCTCTCTCTCTCTCTCTCTCTCTCTCTCTCTCTTTCTCTCTCTCTCTATCTGTGTCACTCTCTCTCTATGTATGCGTGTGTGTGTGTGTGTGTGTGTGTGTGTGTGTGTGTGTGTGTGTGTGTGTGTGTGTGCGTGTGCGTGTGCGTGTGTGTTTGTGTGTGTGAGAAAGAGAGAGAGAAAGAAAGAGAGAGAGGAGGGGGGTATGTAAATGCGTGTTTAACGAAATATTATATTATATAATAATATAATATACATTTACACCGGTATGTACATGATATAATATGCATATATATAAAGCAAATATATATATACATAATATTATGTATATATATATTATACATATATGTCATATAGTCATATATATTCGTTTTATATTATATATGTGTATGTGTATACATTTTTTTTAAATGTATACAATACATGATATACACGCATATTGTATTATTTACAAAGAGCGGGAATGCCGCTCAGACCGACTGAGCGCGAAAGTGTAGATTTGAATAAGCAACGTTTCCATAGCATAGCGAGGACTGTTTTGTCTATCACACTTGGTATACATCGCACGTCAAACTCCGGGAATCGTTCACCCGCTCCCTCTCTCTCCCGCCCTCATTTGCTGGCTCGTCTGGTGAGGGGGGAAATGCCCCCACGCGCATTTCGCGAGCGGGAAACCACGATAATACTGTCCTGTTGTTGTTGTGCTGGGATGCTGTGGCCTTCTCGTAAGTGTTTTACAGCCGTTTCGTTAAGGGAAAATAACTATGATTATCTTTACACCTGACCCAATATAGATTGATATAATTGTTTAGTAATATAGTTTGATTGTTATTTGTCTTAAAAGCGTCTTCTTTTGTATCCCACCAGTGTTTCTTAAGATTTGTATTAATTCTAGTTTCAAAAAGTCAAAACAAAAAGGATCATTAAACTGACTTTGTATCAGATATTTTTAGAAGTAGACTCTGACTCAAAGTACATTTCGGTGGGACTAAATAACTTCTAAACTCGATTTACAAAATGCAAAAGCTCTCTGTGTATAGTCCTAAACAAACGGTAGGAATATAGGACTGTAACAATCTCCACTGTATCGGACTGGGTACTTGCATTGCAAGTCTCTAGTGAAAGTACAAAAAATAGAGTTTAATAAGCTGCAACATAGAAACTGTGTTTACATTAACTTTAATAATAATAATAATAATAAATAGCATTTATACTGCGCATTTCCATTTCCTAAAAGATGCTCAATGCGCATTACAATGAAAAAGACATCACATCTTAAAAATTAATCGAAAACAAAGTATTATACATATAATATAAATCATATGTGTAAAATTTTATACAGAAAAACAGTCTCGCAGTGAGGTTGAAAATGTGTTCACTAAAAATATACAATGCAATAAAAATTCACGAACAGTCAAAATAAAGTTGAAACGTGAGTAACTAGAAACATTCATTAAAACATTAATTCTATACAGATAGAAAAACATTTCCGTTCTCTCTCTCTCTCTCTCTCTCTCTCTCTCTCTCTCTCTCTCTCTCTCTCT